AGGTTGGTATGAGAGGAGGGAGAGAGGCAGACTGTGACTAAGGTAGCGCTGGCACTGAGAGTGGTGTTACACACTTGTTAGTGTCTCTCAAGTCAAAAACAATCACACCTCTGACTGTGAAAACACACGGAAGCTTTTTAATGAGAACGCGCACAACTTCAACTGTGGAAGACTCATTAGAGGTTAGTGGCTCGGAAGCTCATAAGAGTGGTAATTTAATTTAAGAGTCTGTTATCCAGGTGTAGATTAACAATCTGTGACATTTTCATACAGATAAGTTCCTGCTTCCTGTCTTCTCTGCAGAGCACTGCTTCAAACTGAAACAAGTTCAACAAAGCTTTTATACATTTTGTTGTGAACAGCCAGAGTCAGACAGGTCTGTTGCAGGAAAAAACATCCTCCACAGCACTGCAAGTGATGTGCTTCAGTGTTCCCAGCAGCGACAGAACTTTGTTGGAAATAAACAGAGAAAGAACAATGTGCTTGGAATCGGAAACTATAGACAACATTGCTAATCCGACACAGAAAAATCAACAGAAGCTCAGAAATTTCATTTACTGAACTCCTCAGGTTAAAAGTGATGAAGATAGGATCTGAATGACAAGCGAGCTCGAGGAAGTAAGTTGCAAAATAACACCACAGCATGAGCGATTAGTACTAAAGATGTCAGCAAAAGAAGAAAGGAAAACAAGATGCCTGTGGAATGCCGCTTAAAAGTGTTGGGCTTCACGTGAGAATCAGGTCAGTACATAATTATAATAAAGGTCAATCAAATGGACCAATATAGCAAGGCCATGATGATCCACTTGGTAAAGTAAATCCACTTGGCATCTTTCTTGGCCTTCAGACAACAATTCTGATGGCTAAAGATCCAAACAGGACAGGCAGGAAAAAAAAAGAATCAGGTCAGGCATTAGAGAGACAGCTGTGAAGAGAAACACAAACAGACAAGAAGGTACTGCTGTGGGAACTTTGGGAAAACCCGACTTGTCATGAATTGGACTTTTTGAGAAACAGCATGCACACCTCTCACTGAAGTATTACTCTCAGGCCAAAGCTACAAGAAATCTTTCTCAGGCACCTTTACCATAATGGGAAGAGAGGATGAGTGCCTCATTGCCTCAGGCTCAGTAAAAGCTCCTGACTCACTGACTACCAAAGAGGCCCACGAGCATCAACAGTTATCACTAATGATCTCTGATAAGTTATCACCGACCCACGCTGACATTTTAACCACTTGACAGCTTATGTTGCTTTTAAAATAAATTAAAAAACAGATACAGCACTGCTGAAACCGACTACACCATCTATCACCATGTCATGTAACATGGACACACATTTATCCAAATATAGTGTGTTTATTTTCTCTTTTTATTTTCTCTTCTGAATTCCATTCAATCACCGTCTAATTGATTTAATTCTCCAGATGGTCTAGAGCCGAATGCAGGGAAGAATACAAAGTACAGCTGAAGGTTGCCCTCTGATTCCCATAAGCTGTCTGACCTCCTTGTTTCTGCTTAATACGTCTTAAAATACCCATATGTTTAGGGAGTTCTATAAAAATTGCACATGAACAAACGTACAGATTTACAGGGAGTGACGACCTCAATTAGATAAACAGCTTACCTTTGTTCTCACCCATCCTGCAAAGATGGGACCTAGTAGAAGAACTGAAATTATGGTGACCAAGTGAATCAGTGGTTGACTTCCATGCAAGAGTGAACGCTGGGAGCATTTCTAAATGGTTATATCCATTTAACCTTACTGGAGAAATGTGAAACAGGCGAGAAGCAAGTTGTTTAAATAGCCTCGCCTCAAACGGCAATCAATAATGTTTTGTGAACTGAGCCCGGCCACAGCGTGCAGACTACAGCAGCAATTAAAAGGGAGACAAAAGTTTATGAGAAGAGGCTGAAAGTGAGACAATAATGCGTGTATAAATGGAGTGGAAAAAATTGGAGAGCAACGCGAAAATTGATTGATGCAAACAGGTCAAAATGAAAATGTTCAGTGGATTGTAGTTGCACCTGTACAGATAACAGCATGTGTTTACCAGCTATAGGTCTTTCATTGTCTGTTCCCTTTAAGGTCAGCTTTGTCAAGAACACTTGCAAGAGCCTCACAGAGTAAATTCACAGGTCAAAGTTCACCAAAGATGACTGTACGCCAGGCATGTCAAGACATTTTATAGCACTGATCACTGTGATTTTACTTAAATTAACTGATAAAGTCTGAAATACTTGATCAATGATAAATGATAAATGACTGTGTGACCCAAGAGAGTCCCAAGAGTCTCTGCACTGAACTGCTGGCGACGGTGCTTATGGTACATGAAAGAAAATTAAAGCAGAGCATGAGAATGGGAGCCGTAGGCGGAGAGAGGGTGAAGCAATAAAATACTCAGACTCAAATAAAGGAACGATGGGAGACATGCTATTCTTTTCAGATGAAAGCCTTTTCCATCTAAGTGTGAGCCAATTATTTTTCTTGTTGAGAGAAAATATGAACATCTGTGTTTGCCGTGAATCAGTGAATAATGGCAGACCACACAAGGACCTCTGAATGTGCACACACACAGAAGCACATAGGCAAACAACCACACATGCACACACACATTTGCCCTGTGGGCTGGGTGACGTCATGTTTGTTGTAGGGTGGGCGGCTCCTGATTGAAGATTAACGTCTAAAACTGCCAAAGGTGCTTTAGGCTTTTAAAGATGGACAGAAGCACAACATTCCCACATTAGACTCTTACAGCTGAGAGATAAGGAACTCTTCTAAGTTGTAGCCCTGGGCCTGAGAGGGCCTGGAACCCCTGACTGACAGGCTCAAGCAGATTTACTCTCTGGAGCTGACATGAGGTTCAAGAAAAAACAACATTCTTTGGCTGACTGGTCTTGTAACATAAAAATGCTCTCATAGTCTCTCCCAAGACAGTTTTAGGTTTGGGAATGTTTATGGTAACATAAAAGAATTCCCTCTGGAAGGATCCCATACAGACTGCTATAACTACTGAGCCATGTCACCGGTCAGATAACTGGCAGGAGCCTCTGGCATGAGAAGACTGTGACATGCAGCATCTCAGATCCACATAGCTGTAAATCTAACCACACTGACAAGACAGGGATAGATCCTGGCTTCCCATGCAGGAGTCCTACAGCCTGGTCATACACCACTAAAATAAAGATGATTTGTTTTCAGAGAAAGTTCCACTGTGATTCAACAACACTCCCGACATGTGGATTCCTTTCTATGGAACAATAACACTTATACACTGATATCACTGATGCTGTTATTCAGAAAATATCAGCATGTTCAAATTAGACATTTTTAATGACTGAAAAAATTAAAGTTAGAAATAGAGCAGGGTGATATGATCAAAAATATTTATCACGATATACATTTAAAAATTTGCGATAATGATATAACTGACTATATAATTGACACTAGACAAAACTCCACAACTTTATTAATGCAAAAAAAAAAACATCAATGTATTTTCACTTAAACAAGAAGCTGTTTTTTGCATTAAAGTTATATAAAAATTTAACAGTGCAAATTCCTTGCTGACAGTTTAACCAAAAGGCATTTCCAGTGGAAATTGGCCGACATATCCTCAGCATAACCATGTATAATATCCAGAAATCTTAAAAAGAGGTTATACACACACAATACGGTAATATTATGTTGAAGCACAGTACGTATCACTCCGCGAGGCGCCTGCCTACTATAGTTGTAATGCTCCGACAATCCATCAAGCGGTGCAGCTTCGTAGCTTAGCAAAATCGTACTAAAACATTTGACAGATTTTCGAGCGCTGTGTACATAAAATCATTTCGAGGTGAGTAAACACAACCAGAATTCATACATAAGGCACACGGGATTATAAGGGGCTCTGTCGATTTTCAGAAAAATCAAAGGATTGATTTTAAGTGTGCCGTATTTTCCAAAAAACACGGTAATAACAACAGCCGCTAGCATGCTCTACCAAAAATAGTGCTTTGTTGTGTATCTGACAGACGAAAGCTAAACCAGTTCCACACCACTGAAGTTGCAGCATTTTTACAAACCAATTCTGGTTCATCCGATTCGTTCAACGTTCCGCTTTCGCCCTTCTCATTCTCTGTCACCGCCGTGCTTTTTCCGCCATGTGCATATGAAAACAAAGGCACTGCGCATGCGTGTTTTACCCATATTCTATCACGATATTTCATTTTCTTATCGTTGCCCAACATTATACCGGTATTACTGTGAACGGTATGATATGGCCCTTAGAAAGCCCCTGAAAGTAATGAATGTGTATGCAGTTGAAAATAAACGTAATTAATTAATTTCGCACAGGGTTGAGGAATGAAGTCCATTCATGAATTATTTGTCAGCAAATTACTTAATAAAATATCCAAAGTAAACAAAACTTTATATAAATCTTGATCGGATGTCTGAAAATGTGTAAAATGGGGAAACTTAATCAAACGAGCAGACAAAGATTAGCCCAGTACTAGCCAGTATGTCAGCCAACTGCTGCATCCATCTAAATCTGAGGAAAGCTCTTAAATGGTTATAGCTGTTACTGGTCCCTTCAGGCCCATCCTGTCTGAATTATCCACGCCATAACCCCTTTCTCCTCCCCACAGTTGCCTGACCCTGAGCCAGATCATGAGAAGAGGCAGCCACACACAGTGGACAACTCATGAAAGAATGCACACACAAGACACAGAGAGACATGGCTGGCACCAAAGTTTCCAGCACTAGCAGATGTCCTGAGTTAAAAAACAAACAAACAAACAAACAAAAAAACCGTCTAAAAACAAAAGACATCTCGAGTTGGCTAGGTCAAAGCAATTTGTCAAAGAGATGACTGCTGAAAAAGTTGGAGAGGGAGTTGGAGGCAGTGCCACCCTGTCGCACCCAGGGACAGACACCACGGCAGGGCTAGGAGACGATTGATTTAATGTCAGCCTCTAAGACACAGCACAGACAGAGACGTGAAATAGTCTTACCTGACGTGTCCCACATATTCAGTTCAATCCGGTGCTTCTCTATTTCAAAACTGGCTGTGTAGTTTTCAAACACTGTGGGCACATAGTTCTGAAAATAAAAGATTTATTTTAGTTACCCGATGAAAAGGGGCATAATAAGCCTCTGTTTATAGTGACTGTGATTAGACTGCTGAGAGTATGACATTTGAAACGATGCAGCTGACAAATACAATAAAGGCAGACACATTTCACAGCTGGGCTGCCTCAAATGCTTTCGGGGATATTATGTTCAGAAACACAGCAAAGACAAAGCCTTAAAGTTTTGTGGTCTGTATTGGAGACACTACAGTTCATTTAGTCGTTTTACAGTCCTTTATTTCATGTCTGCGCTAAGGTTCTTTCTCCTTCTCTTCTTTGGGCATTAGTGTGTTTAGACAGGTGGATGTAACCTGCCGGATTAGTGCTGAAACTGAGCTGCCGAGTAGAGCGTTACATTTAAATGACGGTGCTGTAGTTATTCATAAACTCCGCGGTTCCCTCCTCTACAGAAAGACCGAAGTTTAGACTTTTTTTAATAGCTGGACCTACCTCTGGATAGCAGTCCTTGGCAAAAACGTGCAGGAGCGCAGTTTTCCCACATTGCGTATCCCCGACCACCACAATCTTGCAACGGCTCCCTAGACTGTCCATGGTTTGTCCGTCAGACGTGTATTCTTGACACGGAAAGGTGTTGCATCCAGCATCCGATAAGAGGCGCAGCGGAATTCAACACTTTGAAGAAAAATTAGCAAATACATGCGCAGAGCCGGTGCGCTTTATCCAGCTTGTGCTGTCCGACGCGCAGTGCCCCGGTCCCACTGACACACTCCGTCTGACTCGTCCGCTCCCGTAACTGCGAGCAGGACGCACACAGCCCACCCTGGAAACTCCGCTACTTTGGTTACTGGCCACGCCTTCCTCATTTTCACATATGAGCCACATCGTTCACATGTTGTATGCAGCTCTTATTATTATTAGAAATTAAGGTCCAACTATACAAATGGTTCACAGGGTTTGTTTTTCTCTTGTATGATTTCACTGAAAAAGCGACCCAGTGTTCATGGAAACCAATCAGTGCTATTTTATGCCTGTAGTGATTGTATTCTGTTGCATCAGAAACCTAATTAAATCCACAAAAATGATATCACTAGGGTTAGACTACAGCTAATTATCTCAAAGTTAATAAGGACTCAGTATCATGTCTTTATTAACTTAACTGTGTCATATTTCATGATGAAACGCGTTTAACATAAAATTGGAGCATCTGCTTAAATCTGCCTTTTCCCTTTTTAAAAAAAGGCCTATTTAATATAAAATGAATAAATACGTAATAACAAAAATTCAAAGCCTGCTCAGTAACGTTTTGTGATGGGTTTTGATTTACTTACTGACCAGCTACAGGGGAGGAATTATACTTTTTGCTAATAAATTATAGTAAATAGGCTTAAACTTATGGATATGTTTATCATCATTTTAAATATAGAGCTATAACTATAATGTGAAAAAGTTAAAGGGGTAAATTCCAATTTCCCATTAAGATTTACATGGTCTTATTAGCCCTAATGTGTCTTTGAGAATATACATTATTAAATGTTTGTTATGTAATATTTTTTAAAATGCTTTTTAGGTATTTTTAGGAGGGATAGCTGTTTGTCTTATGATAATTACCAAATGTAAAACCTTATTTCACTGTTGGCAAAGCTGCATAAATGCTCAGGACATTGTGCCCCTCGATTTAATGCCAACGTGACCTTTTAATGGTGATACAATAAATGCAGCATACCATGATAAAATAGTCCATCAAATTAAGTAGTTAGAGGTGAATGGGCTGTTTTATGGCTCTTGCAGCCCTTCAATTAGTTGATATTCCTTAGAAGTGCGTGCCCCGCAGGGGAGTTAATGTTTTTGTGAATGAGATAATGAAATGACGCGGTACCACGTGCCAAGACACAGCGCTTGACTCAACTCTGGTTGTTTGAAGACCGACACCGCCTCCTTGTGGACGAAAAAAAAGTGTCAGCTCATATAAATGTGGGCTATACAACAGCAGTGACCCCAAGTCATAAGCGTATAAGCCAATACAAGTTACCTGAAACTTAATAAATCAATCACACTTTATTTGTTTAGCATCTTTAATGCAGGTTAGTGCAGTTCAAAATACTTCACAGATTAAGGACAAACCAACAAGAGATTAGACATATCAAGAATTAAGAAAACAAAAATATGCAGCAATAAGCGACTTTAAACTACTCAAAGAGTTTTTTGTATTAATGAGAGAAATAAATCCGAATAGGACTATGATCAGACAGATGCCTCTGTTCAGTAAGTTTTTCTAATCCTGGATGTAGATTAAAAAAAAAAAGTTCAACTTTAGAATATCACATTTTTCACCTAAATTACCTGAATCTTTAAGAGCTGACATCTCGTCTGTGGTTACATCGCTGTACAAAGTTTTATTATTTTCCAAAAGGAGTTGGGATCATTACGGTGTTCAGTGGTTTTTGAGGTAGAATTCTGATTAGGCCTTTTTTAATTAAAGAGGTTTAAGAGTTTCCGAGCTGTCTAAAAATCAGCCAGTGTGCCTCAGATTTAGCTTTTCTGGCCCAGGTGACATCTCTCTCTGTGAGGAGATGGAACAGAAAAAAAAATAAGGATTGTCTCAGCTTTTTTCTCTAAATTTGTGAGAGGGCACATGTTTATCTATAATTTTGATAAAAGCATCATAAAAGTATTTTTACACTGGTAAAACTGTGATCAGTAAACCTAGTGTGGTAGCTAGGTAGATTCTATTCTAGTCACAGCATGTAAAACGTGGGAGAAAAAAATCAAGGAAATACTTACAATCGTGTTTAAAATATTAACTATTTAACTATTTGTGGTCTTGATTATGAGGGCTTTGAATGTCTGACTGCAACTACCACTCAGTGTTCAACGATATCATTTGCAAAAATACCAATACCGGATAAATTGAAACATCAGTACCAATTACTCAATCAAATCTTATTTTCTATAGCACATTTGATGAATCTTAGTGCAGTTCAGTGCTTCACAGATGACTAATAGGCCAATAATTAAAACTGCAGAAAAAAATTAATAAAATTACAATGATTTGCAGTAATAAGCAATTATATAAATTAATTAAAGAGATTAAAAATGAGACATAAGTCTTAATAATAAATACATCTGGGGAAGATTAGAATAAAGAATACGGTAATATAGAGATAATACTGATATATTATAAAGGTGGAAGTAAGTGCTGAAAAAACAAGGCTCTAAACCATATGAAAAGCTCAAAAAATGTAATCTGGGTAAATTCAGAGTATCTTTGCTTTTGTCAGATGACCTGTTTGGTTACCTTGTATCCATCTTTTGTCGATATTGCTTTTTGTGCAATATTTTCATTTCCTGTCTTGCTTTACCATCGTTTTTGTTCATTTTGCCTTCCTCTGCATTCTACATTGG